GTGTACATGAAGGAAGCATCTCAGTATTGTTTTTATGAGAGAGAAAATATTGGGTATTCCAGGTAAGAACATACAAGGAATAATTGTGCTTATTAATTCAAGAGTAGAGCTATAATCAGACTTACATAATTACTTGAGTAGCTTCCATGTCACTGTAATAGAATTTCATGGTAGCTTGTAGAATAAAATTTTAAGTAAGGTAGAATCACCAAATGATAGCAGTTTAAAAGCCATTTAATCTGTTGGGCCTTTTTAAAAACAAACAAATAATTAAGCTTAAATAAAAAGCTTAATATCAAGTAAATTAGAAGAGAGAAAACCAGATTTCTGGACTTTAGGATTGTACATGATGAAACTGGGAACTCAGCTTTGTTTGGTTATCAACTTCCTGACACACAGCTACATTGGGAGTGATATTTGCAAAGACTCACCTGTCCAATGAGGGATGGCAAGTGATATTTGCAGTGATTCACTTATCCACCTCATTAGAAGCAGCTTGCGGGGAACAAAGATAAGGAATCCTGAGTCAGGAGACTCTTGAGGTCAAGCTGAACTTTTAGAGGTCATTCATTCAACTCTCTGGGGCTGTTTCTTGACCTATGAAATGGGGATTATAGTAGCTACATGTCATTGGGCTAATGTGAGAATCAAATGAAATAATATATATGAAAGTATTTTACAAAGTATCATGTATGATATGAATATTATTTTCTATTACTATTTGCATTTAGGTTCCTTTGTCCCATTGTATCAAGACATCCTGAATCAATCAGGTTTTTAAGACTCGGAATGCTCTCTTAATGATCCTTTATTACTTTTTACTTACACTTTATAGTTTACAATTCCTTTATTTTCTTGCTTGTCTTTTTTTTCCTTTTTTCTTTTTTGGCACTGGGGATTGAACTCAGGGGCATTCAACCACTGAGCCACATCCCCAGCCCTATTTTGTATTTTATTTAGAGACAGAGTCTCACTGACTTGCTGAGTGCCTCAATGTTGCTGAGGCTGGCTTTGAACTCATGATCCTCCTGCCTCAGCCTCCCAAGCTGCTGGGATTACAGGTGTGAGCCACCATGCCTGGCTATTTTTCTTCTTTTCTATGGATGGGATGTAAGTGGCTTTTCAAACTCTTTGTTTCTGAAATGCTTTGCCTCAACTTTTCCCAGCTCTGCATTATTGCATTTTCTGGAGAGGTTGCTGTCTAGTTCTATCATTTTGTGCACTGCTTTATGGAGCTGTAGGGGAAGGTGCAATAGAAGTGAACAAATGTTCATCTAATATGACAATTTGATGCTTTAATGTGTTGAAAATAAACTCAGTAAAGACAATATATTATTTAAAGGTGTGCCTTTGAATCATGCATCATGTTTGAGTCTGATGTTCTTTTAAGTCAGAGTACCCAGTAGTCTCTGAGCATAGATTTTGCTAGGAACAATACTAGAGAAATGGGGCAAAGATTTCCTCGGGTCTCCATCGTCCTGATTCATGTTTCAGTAACATCACTATAGGGAGCACATACCGTGTTTTCAGCAAGAAAATGTATTGTCTCACTTCTCATCTTGTTAATCCATTTGCCTTAGGAAAATATTCTCTCTCTCTCTCTTTCTGTTGTTACTCTTTGTAACTTTATCAAAACACATAATTATTTTACCTCCCCTTATTTTAGAAGAAAAATGCTAGGTCCTGGTGTGCTCAAAAAACAATATTAGAGTCATCATTCAGAAATTTCCTTTTTAGTTTAAGATGGTTGGGAAGAGGATGATCTGATTATGTCAATGACCTGGTTAACAAAAGGAGTGAGTTCTAGATCACTGATTTTCAGAGTACTTGAATTCAGGTTGTCTTGATTAATAGTAGAACTAGATTGAGTATCTGTTAATCTTTGAAACGGTGTTCCATGAATTTCACGTGTGTTCATTCATTGAGCAAAATATATTGAGGCCTTACTAAGTGAGGGGCCCTCTTCTGTTTGCTGGGGATCTGGAGGCGGTGAACGATCTGGCACACTAGCTCCACATGAGGAGGTTACGATTCTAACCACCATTCTATTAAGGAACACCATGGATTTAAGACATGCAGGAGAATAGGCTGAGTAAAAACTTAGTAGTATTTTTCCAAAAATAAATTCTTGATTTTATCCTGTCAATTCATCATTTTCATCTTTAGTGCAGAAATGAAATGCCAAAATTGTTGTGTTTACTGGAGATTCTGGGTTTAGTTGAAGTTAAAGGCACTTGGCATTTGTCTGATTGCTGAACCCTACTTTGAAACAAAGCAAATATTAATTTAAAAGCCAGAATTCATGTTTTTTCAAACCAGTTTAAAAAGTGGATATACTAGGATAATCCTTCTCATAGGACACCTAATCCCTGGGGGGATGTACTTCATAACCATGTAATATGGATATTGTCAGCAGCATCTATTTGTTACTTGATTGTTTGTGTAGATTGAATTGCTGTACTTCCAACAGCATTTTGTAGTTATTTTAAAAAGACTATCTTTGGCCAATCTGGGTGGACTACACTCCTAATCTAATCGGGATTTTCATTCTTACTTGGTATCTGCAGTAGGTCCATTAGCTTCTGATGTTGTTTGCTTTCAATTTCTCTATTTTTGGGGAGCTTTGCATAAATATTAATGATGGTGTTTATTTTAAACAGAGCAAATCATGCAGACAGGCTTGCTTCAACTGTGCCTGCGTTTCAGCAGCTACTGAGGTCTCTTTGAGGTAGAAAATGGGAGGTGACTGCAGAGGCTGACGTGCATGAGAGGGCACACATGTTCTCCCTGAGAGACCCATGGGAGGAGCAAGCTTTAGGCATGGAGATGACAGAGACTGCAGTCTTCACCCTCTACCTATGGACAGGCCACCTTACCTCTTTGGAATACTATCTCCTCTGATACCTGATCTGAAGGTCAAATGATGTATTAGACCTGAAAGTGCTTGATAAGCCAAAATTATAGAGGTAGAGTGGCTTTGATTCTTCTTTTCTTTTGTGTAGCAATAACTAATGAGTGTATTCTCTGGAACTCAGCATCCTAAGGAAGCTTTGGAGAGGGCTGGGGCCCTCTCTGAGAAGGCTCTTCATCCTTCTGGGGATGCTGGGAGTGCTTAGAGGTAGTCTCCCTCTGCTCTTTCCATCATAGGCCATCACTTTTGAGCCTATTAATCTATTTTTTTAATAAAGGAAATTTCTTTTGGATGACACTACTTTTAGTCTATTCCACTGTACTGGGTGTGTTTCCTGGATTTGTAGAAAATTAGATTTAGCAGATGAAACTTTTCTATGCAAGTCGTAAGTTCTTCATAGTATTTTAACACTTTGGAATAATGGCAAATCTTACTTCACCTTGAAGAGCTGAATTAAAAAATTTTTTTTTAGTCATAGGTGAACATTGTGCCTTTATTTAAATTTATTTATTTTTTATGTGGTGCTGAGGATCGAACCCAGTGCTTCACATGTGATGGGCAAGCGCTTGACCCCTGAGCCACAACCCCAGCCTGGCCATCAGAGGCCTTTGTGACTAGTAACTGTTTGTAGAATTAGGATTAATTATACCACCAATGATGAATAAAAATCATCTCAGCAGAGAGCTTCAAATGTGCCACCCATAGCTACTGTGGCCAGTTTTATCAGATAAGATAACTAAAATTTTGAAACAAATAGACCCAAAATACAATGGACAAAACAAAATGGGAAGTTACTTTTCTCTGTTATAACAGTCTGGGCTGCATGTTCTGATTCAGGAGGGCTCAGCTCCACACAGTCATTCAGGGCCTCAACCTTCGGGGGTTCTGCTATCTTTAGGGGAAGCATGGCCACTGTTAGCATTCTGGCCCAGAGGAGCAGGTAATAGCCTGGAGGAGTGTATAAAGAAGATTTTGAGGGCCTGGATGGAAGAGGCAAATGCCAGTTATCACCTGCCTAGAGATCACTTATTTGCCTCGGGACATCTAACTTCTGGGGCAGTTGGGAAATGCAGTGTGGCTGAGTAGCCATATGTCCAGCTGCTGTGAATACAGAACATGATTAGGAGAGCTGGCAGTCTGTGCCACACGGGTTTATTCCATGGCATGGTAATGACCCTGCAGTATCCTTATGAATATCAGCATTGACCTTTTGATGAAAATTTGCTGACAATTTCTAATCTGTGCCAAAATTTAAGAACGAATCCTCAGAAACAAGTCATGTAAGTCACAGTCATGTGGCTTGGGGGGTGGCTGTTTGGGGCAATACAGAGCATGTAGCTACTCATGCTGGGACTTGGCTTGGGCTCTGCACTCAGGCCAGGGACAGGAACAGGGCCATGAGGTATTAAGAGCAGTCTATTGTGATTTGTCAGCTCACTCACAGTGCCAGAGGGGTCAGCACATGGTGGGAAGGAAAGATGCTGGAGAATTCAAGCAATGGATCTGGAAAGTTGCCTCTTGGGAAATCCATCTAGAGCCCCAGAAACCTAGATACTGGATAGCCAGGGCAGGGAAGTGAGGTGGCATGTGAGCCAGGTAGGGCAGTTGGCAGGGCTCCGTGGCAGCAAACTGGTGCTCCCCACACATCTCCGGTCCTGGAGGGGCAAGGCATCCTGCAATTCTGTGCCATGGACAAAGGCACTCCTTTCTTTTGTCTGAACTAAAGCAGAGGATGGGATACAGAGATGGAGCAAGAAGAGGATTTAAATTACGGAGTAAAGTTTTGTCTAGAAATCATCTCCGGTTCCCCAGGGCCAGATGGGAGCAAGACACACCAAACTATCAGCTTCTGGCTCATGGGGCAGGGGGATGCTACGCCCTATGGGGGAGGGGGATGCTAAGGGAGGCCTCCTGTGCTCAGTGCTAGTCAAGATTGGCTCAGAAACTCAGGTGCCACTGGAAGGGAAACTGGTGTCAGGTTGGGGGTTGCATTAGTGAACAATGACACCAGGGACACATTGACAGATTAGCTTCTGAAATTGCATTGCAGCTCTAAATGCTATAAAAATGTATTTCCTTTAATTTTTAGTCATCCTGCAGTTCATCAAGAAATATTCAACAAATGTTGGCAGATTCTATCAATCGTATGAAGGCATATGGATTCTACCAGGTAAAAGACTTACATTCTGTCTTCAGGGAGCTCAGCGCATAGCCATTTCCACTAATGTTTCACAAATTAGTTAATTAGTCTCATGCAGGAGTGAAATTAAGCAACAGAATGTGAAATCTGTCTTGAAAGCTGCACACACAGCTATTCATCTTTCCCTCGTTTAATCCCGAATTGGGAACGTGTTGAATGTCATGGAAAGAACAGATGCCAAGATGTATCTGCTGAACCAGTCACGGATGAGCCAAGGCAGAGGCGATATCCTGGGCTGCTGCGAACACAGGAGGGTGGGAGGGGGGGACAGATTTCAGAGCGTGATAAATGGCGCGCCACCCTTGGCAGCAGCAGTGAATTCCAGTGCAGTCACTGGTGTGCTCCTTGTTTCTGTGAGCCTGGCTCTGGAGGAAGAGCAGAGTCTTGTGCTGTCCCTGTTCACTGAGCCAGGAACCCCCGCAGGCACTAGATTACTCCCCATCGTCTAGAAGCGACATTCTCCCTCCTGACCAAACTCCACATTGCCCATCACGCTTCATTGTGAACAGACCATACATTGCTCAGAATAAATGAGGCGTAGATTGGCATTTGGAAACTGAAGTAGAATTTGACCCACAGATAGTCTGAAAAAGCAGGGTAAGATACCAGCCTATGAAGGAAAGTTACCAAATTGCCCAGGCCTGAGAGATTGGGCTGCGGAGGAGGCTGCCCAGGCCTGTGTTCCTAGGGACTGTGTGATCAGTTCCCTGATCCCTCTACAGGACAGGCATGAACTTGGAGAGCTCAAAGTTTTGAGACTTCAAGAAGTCATGATGAGGGGCTGGGGTTGTGGCTCAGTGGTAGAGCGCTTGCCTACCATGTGTGAGGCACTGGGTTCGATTCTCAGCACTGCATATAAATAAATGAATAAAATAAAGGTCTATTGATGTCTAAAAAAAGTTGTGATTAATTTTTGGAATTCTGATCCCTGCATGCATAACAATGAAGTAATACAATTGGTGCTCTGTATCCATGGGTTCTGCACTTGTGGATTCAACCAACTATGCATCAGAAATATTTGGAAAAAAATTGCATCTTTGTTGAACATATACAGACTGATTTTTTTTTTCCTCACTATTCCTTAAATAATGCATTATAGCAACTGTTGACATTGCATTAGATATTATAAGAAGTGGTTTAAAGTGTACAGGAGCATGTGTGTAGGTTGTATGCGAATACTAGGCTATTTTACATAAGGGACTTAAGTATCCAGAGATATTGGTACTCACTGGGAGTTCTGGGATCAGTCTCTAGGGGTACTGAGAGATGACTCTGTGCACCCTTAACCAAAACAGCTGCAGTAAAGAAGTTTTCAGTAGCACTGCCCAGATGACATTACATCATCTTAAATGATGACAGTTGAGAAAGGCAAAGAATCCTTGTATTCATTCAACATTTATTGAGTACCTACTGTGTGCTAGGCACTGGTGTGGAAATTGGGGACGCATTCTATGAACAAATTAGATAAAATCCTTGCCCTTGGGGAACTTGTATTTTGAATGGAGGGCACACATGTTGAATTGCTGATGTCAGGTCACCCTGTGGGTAAGGAAATACCGCAGGATGCAGTCCCTGAGACATGCTGGTGGGGTCAAGCTGTTATTTTTGAGAGGAGGTCAGAGAAGGTGGCACTGGAGCTGAGACCTGAAGGAACAAGGGAGGGCTCCATGTGGGTGAGTGTCTGGGGGAAGCGTGTTCGGGGCAGAGGGAGCTGCAGGGATAAAGGCACTGAGGTCACACTGCACTTGACCTGGCTAAGGAGTGGCAGAGAACTGGAGAGAAAGTGAGCAGGCCCGCTTCCCAAGTTTCTCTGGAACAAGGGTAATGAATGGCAGCGTCCTGCTGTTAGAGTAACTCAGATGAGTTTTGAAGTCTTCTGGCTGCTTTGAAGAAATAGAGGGGTCAGGGCCAGACCTCATCTGCTGTTAGTCTGTGAACTGGCTCATTTTGTCTCCTTCCCCGCTGTGCCTGTGTAAGTGTGGTGCAGGTAATAAAGGAGACTTACTAAACACAGCATCTCTGTCACCTGAGTGTCACCTATCAACCAAGTGCTACCTGTGCTTATTAGTCACTTAATAATTTTCCTTCAGGGTTCTCATGTCTTTGACTTCTTGCTTATCCTAAGCAACAATATCCGTGACAATCCTGATTGGATGTTGGAATCATGTTTCTAGTTACTTAGAAATAAATACATATGCATGTGAAAGAAGAACAGAGCTCTTCACCTTGGGTTTTTTTTTTTTTCCTGTTTGAGTTTGGAAGTGGCTGGCAGCACTTATTTATGTATTTCAGTCTTGTAAACAGCTTCAGTTCAGGATGGCAAATTTTAACAGTCATTGCAAACATCAAAAGCGGTTCCTTGGTTTTTATAATGCATGTATTGGCAAACAAAAGGAGCTTAGCTCGAGGCAGGAAAATAATGTAAGAAAATAAAACAGTAGATGGACAACTTTAGTCACATCTGAAGTGCAGTTTATGAATTGTCACTACATTAACGGTGCTTTACGACTTCCCAGAGTGATCAAAAACAAGTTTCTCAACATCAAGGTTTATGTATATTTTAGTTGTGGAGCAAGAATTTTGCAGAAAGGAGATCTTTTTTTCTTTCTAGAATCTACCCCTTGTGATGGAGAAGGAAGCTGGGGAACAGGAGGAGGGAACAGTCCTCTCTGGCCTGTTCAGCCTGCTTTATTACTTAGTTAACTGAGGCTTCATTAGTTCACCAAAGTTGTAAATTCAGTTGTATTACGAGCACTCAGAAGGCCGCATCCAGATAATCAAAATAAAAAAAAAATACTTTCTAGGTCTTAGTGATTTGGTTTGTTCATTTCTCTTTAGTTTAAAATGAATTCCCTTGATGACACATCAGGCCTCGGAATAGCGTACTTAAAAATGGTGAAGAGAGTAAATTTGTCATGTGTGTTTTATCACAATGAAAAAAAATGAATCCCCTTTTTAGAGAAATACTAACATTTATTTTGCGTTTTCCCTTCTCCAAGGATGCTTTTAAAAATATCTGTCTGTTTTTTAAATAACAACAAAAATATTCCTAAAATGACATTTTGGAATGTGGTTCGAGGACAGGTGAACACCCAGTGACGTTGCTCCGGGAATGTGCAGTTATTCTGTGGAAACTGTCAGCCACTGTAAAGTGGTGTTTACTGTGGTTTCCATGAAATAGTGTGTTTGTTTTAGGGAAATATATTTGGAGCAACTAAGTGCTATGCCTGAAAGAAAAGACTGTTTATTGAAAGTGTGTGTGTGTGTGTGTGTGTGTGTCTGTCTGTCTGTCTCTCTTTCTCTCACTGGGGATTGAACACAGTGGTGCTATAGTACTGAGCTACATCCCCATCCCTTTTTATTTTTATTTTTTAATTTTGAGACAGTCTTGCCGAATGGCCCAGACTGGCCTCAAACTTGGGATTCTCCTGCCTTAGTCTCTCCAATAGCTGGGATTATTGGCATGCACTACCATGCTCAGCTTACTGAGTTTTTATGTGTTGTACATTGGACTGCGCAGGCACTTTAAAAAGTTTAACCCTCGGGGCTGGGGATATAGCTCAGTTGGTAGAGTGCTTGCCTCGCACGCACAAAGCCCTGGGTTCCATCCCCAGCACCACCACCAAAAAAAAAAAAAGTTTAACCCTCATCGCTGAACACAGTGGTGTGTGCCTGTAATCCCAGAGACTTGGGAGGCTGAGGTGGGAGGATAGTAAGATGGAGGCCAGCCTAGACAGCTTAGTGAGATCCTGTCTCAAAATTTAAAAAGGGCTGGGGCTGAAGTTCAGTAGTAGAGTGCTCCTGGGTTCAATCCCCAGTCCCCCCAAATAAATAAATAAATAAATTTAACCTTTACTATAACTCTGTTTTCTCCTTTTTGTTTTTGGGAAAGAGCCTTTGAGAGTTCAGTGACTTGCTTTGGAATTCCACAACCAGGTAGCACTTACACCTGCTGCACGTACCGAGTATACCAAATCGCCTCCCTCGTGGGCCAGAGAGGGTTCAACAGAAGTCAGGTGCCTACTGCCCTCTCCTCACAGAGACTGTTGGATTTTTTCACCGATGCTTGTTTCTGTTTCTTTAAAACAGAAGAAAGAATTGGTAAAGGAAAAACAAGACGAAGAAATAAAACAAGTGGAGGAAGACAAAACCAAGCAGATTTATAAGAACTGGAAAGAAGATTCCGAGTGGCAGGCCTCCCGTGAGTAGCGAGGCCCCAGTAGCTCCTTTGAGTCCCTCAGCTGCATCTTTCACTTAGTAAAACTATGAGTCCAGGAAGCACTGAAAGTGGGTGGTTGAGAGATGTCGTCAGGCTAAATTGTTACTCAAATGTCATTCCTAAGCGATGACTCAAAGACCTAGGAGAGCTACTTCTGAATTGCAGAATGATTTTTCAATTCTTCTTTATACCATCAAAATGATGAGCTCTCTTGATGATGGGATGGCATGTAGCTATGACAAATGTGCTTTGGAAGAGTGTCTAATGACCTCTTCAGCTCAGAGAAGAAAAAACATAAAATAGTGTGAAAAATATCACTACTTTAGAAAGTCTAAGTTACGAAGGAAAAAACTATAAGATTATTAATATATTAATAGTAGTTTTCTTGAGGAGGTGGGATTTAATTTTCACTTCTTTTATTATTCTTTTGTGAGTTTCCTTTTTCACTCTACATTTTCAACAGTGAATGCATTTTAAAAGTCTCATCTTGCCTGGCACAGTGGTGCACACCTGTAACTCTAGAGACTCTGGAGGCTGAGGCAGTAGGATTGCAAATTTGAGGCCAGCCTCTGCAATTTAGCAAGGCCCTAAGCAACTTTGAGACCCTATCTCAAAATAAAAAAGTAAAAAGGGCTGGGGATTGACTCATTGGTTAAGCACCCCTAGGTTCAATCTCCAGTACCAAAAAAAAGCTTTATTCTTTATTGACCCATAACAAGTGTTCTTATGGGGTATAGTGTGCTGTTTCAATGTGACATAACTTTGTAATCTAAAGAACACGGAATAACAGGCTCGATATATTAGTATCCCTCTGACCCAACTCTGACCCCCTTTTGAGCTGGCACTGCCAGAGATAAGCCCCATGGGGAGAAAAATAGCCAATGCAAATGAAGGCCAAGCAGTGGATGCTCAAGGATGAGGATGAGGGAATTCATGTTGGAGAAAGGATCAGGGTTTCCATCTGACATGCACAAAGAAGTCTAAACAGCCAGATCATCCCTTGAGGCAGGCTGAGCAGGAGAGCAGGAGTGGCAGTATTGGCAAGGTGTTGAGAATCCTAAACTGGTCTACAGTCCCATTACAACAAATGCCATTAAAATGATAATTTTTGTGAAGAGAAAATATTTGCAAGATCCAGTCAGTAACCACCTTCTGCTGGGCCCTGAAACCCTAGTATAATGAAATATTTTTGGTATCTCTTTGAAGTCAACTATAGTAGGATTTGACCAATAAAGCCTGAAGTGTAAATATACTCAATAAAAATTATTCTTTCATCTCACGTTAGAGTCTTTGACATTATGTGGCTGAAACAAAACACTCTCTCTTTTACAAATAATATTAAAAGACAGTATTGGGGTATTTTGACATGTTCTAACATGTTCTACAATTATCTGGAACGTGTGTGTGTGCGTGCGTGCGTGTGCGCGTGTGTGTACACATGGACACACAGCAGTTGTCCTTCAGTATCAGCAGGGGATTGGTTCCAGGACCCCTGGAGAGACCAAAATCTGAGGATGCTCCAGTTCCTTATATTAAATGGTGCACTATTTGCATACGGGCACCTCCTCCTGTATACTTTTAAGTCTTTCCTAAATTACTTATAATACCAAGGGTATTTCTGCCAGGCCAGGCCACATGTGGTTCAGTTCCGGGCAGGCTCTGAGCATGACTTGTGGCAAGCTGTGCTGCTCCTTGCCTCCTCTGTGGCCACATGCCCCCAGGGGTCCTGCCTCCTTGGTCTCCTCTGAGGCTCATCACCTGGTCTTGCCCACTGCAGGGAGTTCTTGCACAAGTTCTCCACCTCTTTTCTCAGCCCTCCCTGCTCCCCAGTGAAAATCCCCCAGCTCCCAGATAAAGACAGGGAGTGAGCGCTGGGCTAGCCCTAGGAGCTGGGCAAGGGGCATCCCTGTGACCGTTTCTCAATAGAACCAGGTTGACTAGCTGCTCAGACCCTGCTCTGTGCACCGTGATGCACCGTCTCCTCCTGTCTCCGTGGGCTGACGTGGGCCTTTCTCAAACCTCATTCTTTTTCTAGTGAGAAAATCCAAAGCAGCTGATGAGAAGAGACGCTCCTTGGCTAAACAGGCGCGGGAAGACTACAAGAGGTTATCCCTGGCAGCCCAGAGAGGAAGAAGCGGTGAGGGACTGAGTGTTCCTCAGAAACCCAGAAGGCCTCCCCTTCCACCCAAGCCTCAGTTCCTACCCCCAGCGGGACACCCCCCAAAGCCTCTTGGGTAAGAACCAGCAGGGGCTCTAGGCGCAGCCTTGGGATGGGTTAATCAAAGCTCAGTCATGTGATGGGGGTGGGCGTGGGCGTGGGCGTGGGAGACTGGCTGGAGGCTGGTGGACTCAGCCTCACCTCTAGCTTCCTGACCCAGCATTCATCCCTCTCTTATCGAAAGACTGTGATGAGGATGGCTGGGAGCAAGAGGACTTCCTGCGCCCCGCCCAGCAGCGCAGGAGAGCCAGCACCTGGGTCTCTGGATGCTCAGGATGCCTCTAGTGATAAAAGGACAGTAAAGTAGGACCCTGCGGGCTGGTGGACTTCGATGTCATCACCACCGCTAAGTTTCCACCGCTGGGGATGGATAGCAGTTCTCCTTCTGAGATCTCTGGCTGATTTCATACTTTGGGAATTTGCACATGTTCCTTTTTTGAATAAACACTTTATTTGGTAACAATGAAAACTTTGCCTCCTAGGCTTTGGGGGCAGTAGGAAGAACAATTGTTTTGGAAAAACCCTGAAGAAAAAGGCAATGATACCACAGTAGAAGACCTCTCTCCCTCATGTTTACTGATTACAAAATCACTTTTACCTGGCTATTGACATCGTAGTATTTTTTGATATTCTAATATTTATTTAATTCTGTGGTGCTGGGGATCAAACTTTGGGCCTCATGCATGGTAGGTAAACTATATTCCTCCCACCCCTGGCCCTAATATTCTAATATTTAGAAAGAAAATGTTTAAAGTTAATTATGGATCGAATGAATCAGAACTGTCTTTAGCCTTGCCTTCTGAAATAAAAGCTAAAAACACTTCTTTGTTAGGAGGGTGGTGAAATGAAAACCAAACAAAATCTCCCTTGACCTGGAACTGGTCGTTATCATCAAGGTTTTTGTTTTCATTTTGTTCCTTAACAGGGATTATGACCTCAGAGGAAACACAAAGGTGGACCTTTTCCTCTGCTATAATTATTCCTACTTACTCAACTGAAAAGTTCCATTTTGAGATGTGGGGACCAACACTAAATGACCACGTTCTACAAAATGACAGTTGGAGGAATGATCTTTTTTCCTTTATGGACAGCAAAACAAGAGATAGATGTCCCCTTAGTTTTGTGATCAGGCTCCCATGTGTAGCCCTGTCCACCATGAGGCTTGTCTGTGTGCACACTGGTCACAGAGCCTGGGGCAGGGCTGTCTGAGTGGCTCACTCCTGTGCTCCAGTGTTTTCCAAGGGTGGCATGGGAGAAGGCCTTGTGATGTGTCCCTTCCCTGCAGTATTTTTAGAGCACAGTGCATTTGATTGGCAGCAACGAAGGTGGACTTTCTAAAAGGGCAGTTCTTGTTGTGAGCTTTGCTCAGCTCATTTTTTCCAACTTAAGGTACTGCTTGAGGTGCCTCTTGCGTCAGGCTGGGTGGGGTTGAGCCTGGGGCTCTACACAGTGACCAGAGGTCATCCAGGAGCCAGCCCAGAAGAAGACAGGACCTGTGTCTTTAGAATTTTGCTCCATCTTCAAGGATTTTCTGGAGAAAAAGAACCTCACTTAGAAGCTAGTAAAAGAATATATCATACAATCTCATGTATGTATGGTGGCTTTCCAGTAAAATCAAATCTTATAGCATATTTTTTCTAAAACATTCTGAAAATCATGAGGAATAATATATACATGTATAAGCAGATATACATGTATGTATGTATATCTAATACACATCACATGTGACTCAGTAATGCACATTATCATAGAAAGCACGAAGAGCCATAAATTAATTTACATTATAGGAAATTCTGGCGGCTCACCAAGATTATTTGTTGTTATTTTTAGGTGAATTCTTCTCAGGATAATTCTGCTATTAAGTAGGATTTTAAAATATATTTATTAATTGCAGCATTGCTTTTTGTATTGGAAACCTGTTTACATACCAGAACTCAAGTCCTACCACTGAATTTATTTCAAAATGATCCAGTTGTTTATTTTTTCTTCCAAATCTTCAAACCATCTTTTTCCTTTTACTTTGTGTTTTTGAGACTGTCTTTTAGTACAACTAAACCTCTTCAAAATAGGGGAGAGAAGAAAGCCAGTCCGGGAGGTTAGTGGAAACAGAGAAAAATCAAATAAAGAAAACATTAGGAAAGAATTTATCTATCACATGTGATTTCTTTTGTTTGCAAGTAAATGCTCTCTGGGAAAATAGTGCTGGAAAATAGTGCTTTTCAACTTTTCAAAAAGTTGAAAAGTATATTTCAACTTTTTAATGGTTATTTTCTGAAATTTTAATTGGGAGTTAATGGTCCTTCTAATTCCCATTAAAAATGAATTTAAATCTAGGTTTTAACACAGCAGTAGCTCATACCTATGACTTTCCCTTTGGTACTGGAAGGACAGGCGATGGATTTGTGTTCTTCCCTCTGTCTACCCTTGGGGAGTGTATAATGGTGGTATGCAAGGAGTCCCGCCGCTCATTAGCTCAGCCCATGTAATTAGATGTTGAGATGTATATAGTTGTGTGTGTGTGTGTGTGTGTATACACAGATGGCACACACATGCTGTCCCTCAGTATCTGTGGGAGAGTAGTTTCAGGATTCCACAAGATAACCAAGATGCTTATTTCCTATAGGAAATGGTGCAGTATTTAATATAATCTTGGCACAGAGTCTTGTATACTTTAAATCATCTCTGGGTTACTTATAATACCTAATGTTACTTGATCCTAGCTCAGAAGTCTGACGGTGGGATGGGTGGGTCCCACATCTAGCCCCCACTTGCCCCAAAAACCAAACAGAAAAGGTAATATTAAATTCAGGAAAAGATTATTTAAGAAGTGCCAAGAAAAATTAGAAAAAGAACTTTAGTCAAGATGTCCATAACTGGAAGGCAAACTGGGATCCAGCATCTCAGCCCCGTCTTTGGAGTGCTGACAGGAGTTTTAGGCTTAGAGGAGGAATTGGGTTGGGGGTGGGGTGGGGGTGGGGAGCTCTGCGTAGTTAAAAGCCCTGGTCAGACTGGTGTGGCTGATTCTGGGGGTGGCTCTGGAGAAATCCTTATCACCTGAGGGAGCAGTTTCCACTTTTTGCTCAGAATGTTAATCAGACCTGCAGTCCTGCGGGGCAATTCAGGTCTCCTGCTCAGGGGTCATCTCACCTCAGGGGTGATGTGCTGCCTCCTGCTTCCTGGAAGGTGTAGGACAAGGACTGAGGACTTCTGGGTGTCACTCCTGGGGTCGGAAACAGTCTGCGGCACATCTTGCCTCAGCCTTAAACGGGAAGGGCATAGGTTAGGTAAACTCAGGGCTAATAAGCCTCATACTGCGAGCTTTTAGATGAACCCTCCTTAAAGGATTAATGCATCTACATGCAGAGCTGAAGAGGGATTGGACCCCAATATTAAGGTAATAAAGGAGACAGATGCAGAGTGAGGCAGGGATGCCCAGCTGGATCCTGCTTTCCTTCACCATTGAGCATCTGCACAGGCCTAAGGAGTCCAGTGCTTTGCCAGGTGGGTGACGCACACCTGTAATCCCAGCAGCTTGGGAGGGTGAGGCAGGACAATCATGAGTTCAAAGCCAGCCTCAACCACTTAGCAAGGGGTTAAGCAAGTCAGTGAGACCTTGTCTCTAAATAAAATACAAAATAGGGCTGGGGATGTGGCTCAGTGTTAAGTACCCCTGGATTCAGTCCCTGGTACAAAAAAAAAGAGTGCTTTTAGCAAAAGCCAGCATCTCTAGCTTCTTGTTATATAATACATACATACTACATAAATAGTCGTTCTACTGTATTGTTTAAGGAATAAATGACAAAGAACAAAGGTCTGAACCTGTTCATCACAGACATGATGTTTTTTCTTTGGATATTTTTGATCCTCCACTGATTGAATCCAAGGATGTGTGGAATATTTGGACACGGAGGGTATCACACACCACACACACACACACACACACTCAGGATATATAAAATATTTTTGAGGATATTATTTTCAAATTAGTTGGCTCTAACTTGGAAACTGTTTCACAAATATCAGCAATCAGGGCGTGACCAGGACGGCCTCCAGCTCGGCCCAGGAGGACATCATCCGGTGGTTCAAGGAGGAGCAGCTGCCCTGCCGAGCAGGCTACCAGAAAACCTCAGACAGCATCGCCCCCTGGTTCCATGGTGAGTGAGGAGGAGGTCTTTGAAGGCCCATGGAGCTGTGCTAATCCACCAGGAAGGCAGAAAGAATAAAAGCTTCCTTTCATTTGTGCTGCCCCAAATGCATCTTTCACACCATTTCCACAAATCGGGTTTTCAGAGGTTGCTCAGCGAGCGGCCTCCTCATGCCTGTTTGGGAAGCAGTCCACATTCAGGGTGACTGTGTGCGCTCCGGTTATTCAGCCCCACACACAGGCGCTGGGGGCGGGTGGGCAGAGCAGGGCTTCCTGCTGGCTCACACGAGGGCACTTGGTTGTGATTCCATCAAATGGCACCGTCCTCCCTGGCCCAAGGGGTCAGCAACTGCCGGTGGCCATGCTAGGGTGGGGAGTCACAGGGGGAAGGTCAGGCTCTGACCAGCTCCCTTAAGGAGTCCAGGGAATTTATGCAAACTATTGTCTTTCTCTGTATCCGACCAATTTATTGGAGACTCATTTTTCTCATCTTTTAAATGAAGAGATTAAACTGTGTGATCTTTAATTTAAAAATTCTGTGACTTTGATTCCTTGTTTCTGGTGTAGTTAAGGATGCAAGGTGGATTTGTTGGGTCCTGAACAGGTATTAATTAATCAATTGTTCCATATTTGACCCAAGAGTTGTGATTAATTGAAATACCATTGTCTACTCAGCTTGTGCATGCTTCACTAACCTCTAATTTCTTGGATTTTGAGACCAGGGTGTGGCTTCTAGAAGCCCTAAGTTGGCTTCCATGAGGTCTATGTTTGGGGCTAGGGGCGGGGCTCACAGATGAAACCCTTCTGGGTTGGATTCCCAGCACCTCCTAAAACAAAAACAGAAAAACTGTGACCCAGTTGGCTAAATATACAACAAAAAGTGCTTTCATACAAAAATGTTAAAAGTTCTCCCACTTAGCATGCTTGACCTAGTGAGCCTAGTTTGAATTATGTTTAAGTATGTTTAAGGCATCTTTCTAAAAAATAGCTGCCTAACACATAGCATGACAAATCTCCTAAAAAAAAGAACAAATTCTTTGTGACAGACTTTCTCTTAAAGGACTGATTTACAGTCAGAATGTTACAGAACTGTGTGGCGTCAAACACGATTGTCCATTGCTGGAGGAGTCCCCTCCTGCTCCTGGGATTGGGTTGAAAGCCTCCTTCCTTTCTGTGCTGCTTTGAAGATGTTATCAAAGATGAACAGAAAGCACCCTGGCCAACTGCAAATGTGTTCGCTATGGTTATCTCTGCTGTCCTGTGTCACTTTTTTTTTTCCTTATAAGATAAGCACTGAGGAAATCGGCCACTTTGTAGTTTCTGTGTTCCTGGGCAGAAGATGCCGTTATCCCTAGTTACATGGGCGGTGGTCTGTTTCACAGCAGGCAATAAAAAGTTGAAAATGTTGGTTGATGTTTGTCATTAAAACTTCTGGCACTTGACCCACAGTTCCATTTGAAATAGTTGCTGAAAGCTGGGAAGACCTAGTTGGTCTAATAATCTAATTCAAGCTTTGGTTAAAAAATAAGACTCAAGTTCTTCTGCATATAACATGTAAATATGCTGTTGTTATTATTATTTATACGAATACTTGTCAGTTATCAGCAAAATCAATAATACAATGACAAATAAATACACAGCCACATAGTTCATATAAATTCTTATCTTCGGCGTTTGGAAAACACATTTCATGTTCCCACTGTAGAGAGATGATGGTCAGGCCCTACATTTTGGAAATACCATTACTGATTCATCAGGAGCCCTGTTCTGAAATCTTGGGGTGGAAGCTCTGTGCTGGCTTACCATCTCCTCTGTCCTTGACTTTGTGAGTCACCCTTCTCAGGACACGTTCTGCCTTCCTAAGTACTGGGTCCTTGTAAGTTCATACTGTCATCCTTTTCTCCTGATGGGGACTGGCGGGGGAGGGGAGGACAGGGAAATGAAGACTACAGGATCTCCGGCTTTTGTGGCTGGGTGGAAGGTAGTCATGATGTCAGCCGAGAGAAGGGACCCAGGGGATGCGGAGGCTTAGGAAAGCGACAAGAGGGAGGAGAGTGAACTCATGTGGGATATGTTGAGTTTGAAGTGAAACTCGGGGCACTCATGAAAATATCCACTTGGCAGCTGGGTGAACGGATCAGCTGAGGATGAGTCACCAGCATGTGAGTGAAGCCATGGGAAGGGATGTGAGTTTCCAGGGGTGAGTTAGGAAGCATGACAAGAGAAGATGACCAAGGACATCTGATGGCAGAGGAGGCCCCGCAGAGGTGCTGTGAGGACCGGCATCAGGCACCCAAGAGCTTTTGGGCTCAGGCCTTGTTTCCTACTTGGGTTCCTGATGAGGCAAAATAGCATCTGGCCTCCAAATATCCTATGACAGTGTGTGCTCTACACGCAGGGCAAGATGGTCTTGTCTCTGAACTCCTAGATATAGGATTTTGATGAAAATCCAAAGACCAATAGATTCTGGAATGAAGGTCCTAAGCATCTAGATATGTAAAATCTCCTCACATCTACTCTTCTCCCAGCATAAATTTAAGCTTTTTGAATGTACATTCATAGAACCAATAGGTCTCAATTTTTACTGGGCTTTTGGTTCCACAAGGGATGTGCGTAAGAACCCTTAGACCATTTTCTGTTGCTATGACAAAATAGCCAAGGCTGGGTAAATGATAATGAAAAGAGGTTCATTTATTTAACTCACAGTTCTGAACATGGGGACAACAACTGCTCAGGTTCTGGAGAGGGCCATGTGCTGCTCAACTTATGGTGGAAAAGAAGGAGGGGAATAGGTTGCCTGCAGAAGGGGCCAAGAACATGGAGAGGGGGCCTCACTTAGTTTCAACCGGTTCTTGCAAGAATTATTCCAACATGGAGAGCGAGAATTCACTCTGTCCAGTCCCAGGAGAGAGGCATCAGTCCTCTTAGTGACTTAATCACCTCTGAGAGGTCCCATCTCCCAATACTGCAGCCCTGAGGGGTTTAGCCTGAATATAGGTTTTGGTGGAAACAAAACTAGATTCAATCCATAGGAGTCTAAAGTTTGTTTTCACTTTCTGTTAGTTTTCCTTAGTGCCCAAACACGCTGGTAGTTTTCACTTGGATTAGTTTGGTGTTGGGGTCCAGATGCAATCAGGCAGGTTGGCTGGCTGTCTTTTGACTGCTTCTCGTCTTCTAAAGGGTCGGGACCAGGGTCCTCATTCTAAGTCATTCCCTGATTCCTTCTCAGGAGGCTTTTCTATCTACCCTTGGAGAGGACTCCCTGCAAATTGGTAGCTTCCCTCCCTACATTGCAGCCACCGAGTCACGAGTACATAAACCTTCAGCCATGTGGCAGACGCCTGAGGAAGGGATTTTACAATTTGTATTTTTCTCATTTTAAAAATATTTTCAAATGTAATTCATTTTAGTTTTGGAAATTTCCTTCCCGCATGGTGCAGAGTAGCCAACCTGCTTCACAGAGTCCACCCATTTAATTATGAATCTCATCCAAAGCAGGGGAAAGACCCATCTTCACAGAAATAGCCATAGTAATTTTTGACTAAATATCTGGGCACCATGGGCCAGACATGTTGACTCATGTTATGGTTTAAAGATGAGGTGTCCCCTAAAAGCTCACGTGTCAGACAATGCAAGAACCATTAGATTGTGAGAGTCATAAGGTAACCATTGGATTAATCCACTGATGGATTAACTGGGTGCTAACTGTAGGCAGGTAGGGTGTGGCGGAAGGAAGTGGGTCACTGGGGACATGACTTTGGGGTTTCTATTTGTCCTTGGTGAGCAGAGCTCTCTCTCTCTCTCTGCTCCCTGGTTGCTGTGTCCTGAGCTGCTTTCCTCTGCCACACCCCTCCACTGTGACCCTCTGCCTCACCTCAGGCGCAGAGCTATGGAGTTGGCCACCATGGGCTGAGACTTCTGAAACCGTGCGCTAAAATAAACTTTTCCTCCTTTAAGTTGTTCTTGTCGGGTCTCTCTGTCACAGCAACGCAAAACTGACTAAAACAACCCCTAACATTAATCACTACGGCAGCCTTCTTGGAAGATTTTCTTGGCCTGTGAGAAGTAGACCCCATTGATATTAAGAATCAGGCCTGATTTAGATTCTCAGAGTGGAATCAGGCAAAGAATTCTCCAAACCACAGGCATGAAAAAAGACTGTACAAATTTAGTTTTCTTCTTTCTTTCCTCATTTAAAAACTGATGTTTTTTATGAAATCCTTTAAACATACTACAGAAAAAAAACAAACATAAAGAACACCAGTGATATAACAAATGTTAGATCTGCTCTCCAGATGAAATGAACGTCAACAGTCACATGTACTTCATGTCTGTTTAAAAATAAATAAATCTTACAGAGAGAACTTAGGGCTCTTTTCTACTCCATTTTTAATTCCATTTCCTTCTGTTCTCTCCTTCTGCAAAGGTAAACCTCTCTCCTAAAGGGGTACTTTCCATTAATATTTTATACTACAAACATCTTTGTTTCTATGAAATATGCAGTATTGTGCTGAACATTTACAATGGTATCATGTTGCACATATTTTCTATCAACATCGTGTTCTCTAGATTTGCCTTTATTTATAAATGTAGACTGCTCCCATTGTTGGGTGTTTTATTATATATAGTATGCACACATGTATCATTGCTCCTTTATGTCTTTTTCTACATTTGGTATATATTTTTTTTTTCTGCTGTTACAGAAATGAGGTAGTACACTCTCCTTTGGTCTCATATCTGAAATGCTCTGAAACTTGAGCTGATGTGTTGCTCAAAAAGTTTCAGATTTTGGAACATTTCAGATTTTCAGAAATCTGGGGAAGTCTATGCTAATATTACAAAATCCAAAAAATTACAAAATCTGAAATAATTCTGGTCCTAAGCATTTCAGAAAAGGGATGCGTCACCTAAACTAAATACAAGTGCCTCCCAGAGTGATTCTGCCCAAACATGTGCTCCTGCAGCCGTACTTGAGGACTGCTGCTTTCCTATTTCCTTCCCAGTGCTGGG